GCCCAGAATGGACAAACCAAATGCTGGCTCTAGATAGGGCCTTTTGTGTTTTTTTGTGGCCATCATAGTTTCTCGGAAATGCTTGGGAATGGGAGGGTGAGTTGAGGGTTTTTTGATTTGCAACCCTGCTTGATGCCACTAAAAATAAAATAATGTCCCAAAATGAGATCATGAATTCAAATGGACAAAATTTGATTCTCTTGGAGGGTTTATTATGGTTAGGTAAGGAGCTCAGACATCCCAAAGGACCTTAGAAGAAGTAGGTAGGTAGGAAGGAAGCAGACAGGAATAGAGCTCCTGCCAAAAGAAACCAGTTGAGGTAGTTTGGGCATTTGTTCTGGATCCATCTCTGAGGAGGTATTCCAGGCACATCTAACTCTGAAGAGACCCCTGTGGCAGCCTCCATGGTAATTTATACTAAATCCTAGGGAATGCCTTGGGACCAAACAGAGTAAGGGGAGAAGGGCATCTGGACTACCTTGCCTAGCCTGCCACTGCGACAGGAATCCAGATACGATGCAGAAAAATGGATAGATGGATAATCATAAGACTCAAAGACTAGAAAAAAATGCCAGTATGTTGTTCAGTCTTTGTGGGTTTCTTTTCTTTTTTGCTTGAGCAGGGAAAAGAAACCTTTAGTGCTTAGTAAGAATGATCATCTGCAGACATGATGGCACATGTTTGTTTATCCCTATTTTAGATTGATATAAAATCACAGGTTTGTACACAAGCTCCTAAGGCACAGAGGTGATAGTGACTCAGATAGCAGGTAGCAATGCACTGACCTGAAGCCCAGCTGTCTACACACTACCTGAGCATTGAGCTCAGTCCAGTTGTCGTCACACACAGTGCCCCATTCTCCCTGATGGTAAATCTCCACGCGACCCTCCCAGTGACTGTCTGCTCCCACCAGACGAACTGCACCATCTGCAGCCACACAGGAAAACAAATACTGTATTAGATCTCATACTCAGGGGAGTGTGTGACATACAGTGTCTTGTCTGGTTTAGTGTTGGTGTTAGTGGTCTCTTTTAGCTCACACTGTGTGGAAGGATTCTCAGTCATCCAAGTTATGGGATAGTACATGCAGTACATTCTTGAAAATGTTTTGCCCCTCATCCAAGAGGCTTAAGTTAAGTCATGACAGTCAGTCAGAACACAAGAACCCTTTTCAGATGAGAGGCCAAATGTCATTGACTTTTAGATATTGCAGTGATATCTGTTATAATGGGGTTCCACAGGAATGATTACAGTGTTGTGTAATATGAATGTGTGAGTAAGTGTTTCCTTCCTTGGCTCTGACCTGTGTATGGATTGCAGGACACGCCTGCGTCTTCCATGTGGTCACAGGTGTGCTGCTCCCACATGTTATGAGGACACTCCTCCAGAGAGAGTTCGTTGCCTGTACACTGAACCCCATCCAGCCAGATGGGACCAAAACCCTGGCCAAAGTGGGCCCATGTCCACGCCTTGGCTACGCCCCTGTTGGTAAGGGCAAACAAACTACACCTTTAATCTGTAGTATAAGGTCAATTACACCCAAGAAATGTCCATGTTGTATTTATGTTATTGGCATGAGGGTGAAGGCTATAATTGCGCATCATTTGCACTTTATATGCAGTTTACAATTCTATTTTAATACTGTATGTTGATGCACCTGGTGTTTCTAGTGGTGCACCCAGTAGAAACGGTGTTTTTCTTACCCCAGGTTCAACTGTCGGCACACAACCTCAGCATCAGTGTCATCCCACTGGTCATCACAAATGGTACCCCACCTGCCATCATGGTACACCTCAACACGGCCCTCAAAGTCCTCCAGGCCTCCCACTAGCCTCAAAGGGATGCCCATGCCTGAGAAACAAAGGGTAAAGGAATAAGTGAGCTGATTATACACATATCACCAAAATATGGTGTTATTTTTGAGAAGATTTTCAGACCCTGGATCTGGAGCCATGTAGCCCCAGATGTCATAACAATCGTCTCTATCTTCACAGGCTCCAAAGAGTCATTTTCTGGTTCATTTTGCTGCCTCATGTCTGTTTACCTATGTGTGTGTATATTTGTGTATTGGGCTGCATGCAAAGCTTTTGAATATGCAACAGAAATGTGACATGATGAACCACTGGGCACAAACAACATCTTAAAATGTGGTTATCTTTTCAACATAGACAAGCACATAGGTTATCTAATTACAGGAAAGGAGACAGTTGACTGAGGCTTGCTTAACTGTTAGTGGAGCACAGAGCAAAAAAGGGTGGGACTTTGGAAGGGTCAGTTGGTCAGTCTTAAAATGTTTAACATGTTTCCAGCATTATATGTGGTTATAATGGTTCCACAATATATTTGTTATTATTTATTAGTCATGTATTTGTTTATCTGAGGCAACACTCTGATCTCACCTTCTGGTTCAGCACAAATCACCCCAGCTTCGTTGCCATGGCTGCAGTCGCCAGTGAGAAACTTCCTGTTTCGGCACTCCAGTAGGGAATTCTCATTGCCACGGCAACCCAGACGCTCATAGTGGAATACGGAACCTGGGCCGAAGTAGGAATGCTGCAGGGCTGTACCAATCTCACTGCATGGACAGCAGACACACATAGAGACAAGGGCAATGGAAATGTAACATTAAAAAAGAGTCTCAGAGTGTAAATGACAATTCTGATGGAAGCTACTCTGTCCAGTCATGCTAAGCTAAATGCAAATTCCAAAGTTTATAAGCTACAACCTCAATGGTGTAAAAACTTTCACTTTAGTTTTTAAGCCTGGGTTGGGGTAGGTCAATGAGCCTTAATGTGTTGCCCTAAGTGACCTTCTAGTGCCTGAAGGCTGCTTCATAGTTGAAACAATGGGTGATGGAGGGGACTCTGTTTTGATTCACAGTACAGTGTCAGATTCCATCCATTGATAGCAACATCACAACACTAGAAGTATGTTTGTATGTGATCAGGGTGCATCATGCTTTTAATTATATTGTCCATAACAACTGTGTTTGCATGTGGGGCTCTGTCATTCTTTCTGAACAAAGTTAGTTTGTAGACCAGGGTCAGATCAGTCACAAGTAGTAATATTTAGCACTAGGTCAAAAGTTGTGTGTAACCTTCCAGAACATTGCGAAAGACACTCTGTCTGTCCAAAAACACAACTATAAGGCAAAGTAAGAGTAGAGGCGGCCATTCAAAATAAAACTGCAACAAAACTGAAAAAGGTCAGTATGGTTATAGCTTTGTCTGCAGGGAAATCATTGCTGTTCATTGTCATTTACGCAGGGTTGTATAATGAAATTTTGTTATAGTTCCTTCTATGCCAGTGGTTCCCAACCTTTTTCTTTAAGGGAATCCTTTTCCATCATTTAGTAAACTGATGACATATTTTAGGGATATTTCATATTATACGAACAGAACAACTTATAAACTGTACAATGACCTAAATAGAGAACGCAATAACTGCAGGAAGTTTGTAAGAAGCTGCAAGTGTAAAACGAGCAATTTGGATGAATTTTGAGCATTTTTAGGGCCCGAGCACTGACCCCATATAGGCCACGCCCACTTCCGCCTATAATTTTTTTTTGCTAGAGCGCGAAATGTCCATAAACTATTTTTCGTGTTCCTCCTATACGCTTTGTCCGATTTCCACGAAATTTTTCATGTAGCATCTGGGGACCATCCTGGCAAAAAAGTATTATTATTATTATTTAAAAAAAATAAGCACGCTATAAAATTAACACTTCCTGTAGATTTTTTGTCAAAAAAGGAAGTGGACCATTTCTCCACATTGGTATGTCCGATTGACACCAACCTTGGGTCCATAGTTCCCCATGTC